TCGAAAATCGCAAGATTCATCATCCATAATTATAAAACCAATAAACACGATTTTTAAAATCTCATGCATAGAATAAAATCATGGTATCAAAACATCATTATATCATCAAGCATGATTTCATATTTTCAATCAAAATCATTTTGTTTGTTTATCATAAAATATGTAATTTTCATGATTATTTTCAGAACTACTAGCATGATCATAAATTTTGCATTTTCATCATTTTTTTTAAACATGTAATTTTCAAGAAAATTAATTCTATACTAAAAAAGAAAATGCATTATGAAGAGCATCATGTAATTTTGAAATAAATTAAGGGGGTTTTGATTACCTCATCGTTGAATGTCGTTAAGGCGTAGTTTGCCACCTCGCCTTTTGTGATTTTCTCCTCGTCTTCGGAGGAGCTCGATTCATCCCACTTTATGTTCTTTTTCTTTGGCCTCTTCCTTCGTTCAAGTTTATTGTTTATTTTAGATTTTTGTTTAATAAACTTATTAAGATTTAGTGTTCGAAGTTCAAGTTCATCATTATCCTCATCACTTGAGTCATCGCTCAAGTGGTATTCATTTGTCCGGAGTTCCAAATCCTTCCTGTTCTTTGGAAGGTGATTTTGTTCATCATATTCATCATGTGCATTGTGCATCATTTCATATGTCATCAATGAACCAATTAGTTCTTCAAGTGGTAAGTTGTTTAGGTTTTTAGCTTCTTGTATTGCAGTTACTTTTGAATCCCACTTCTTAGAAAGAGAACGCAAAATCTTGTTTACGAGTTCAAAATCCGAAAAAAATTTTCCAATAGCTCTTAAACTATTGACGACATCCGTGAAACGGGTGTACATGTCGCCTATAGTCTCGCTTGGTTGCATTCGAAAAAGCTCAAAATCATGCAATAAAATGTGAACTTTCGAGTCTTTGACTCTACTAGTTCCCTCGTGCGTGATTTCAAGTATTTGCCAAATGTCAAAAGCCGTTTCACATGTAGAAATCCGATTGAACTCATTTTTGTCCAAAGCGCAAAATAAAGCATTCATAGCCTTTGCGTTTAAAGAAAAATACTTCTTCTCCAAATCCGACCATTCGTTCATCGGTTTAGAGGGAAGTTGAAAACAGTTTTCAATTATATTCCATAAATCCAAATTCATAGAAATCAAGAAAACTCTCATTCGAGTTTTCCAATAAGTGTAGTCCAATCCGTTAAACAACGGTGGACGAAAGACCGATAAGCCCTCTTGAAAGCCATGAAGAGTCATTTCTCTCGGGTGTAAATCCGAAATGAGAAAAATCGGGCTCTGATACCAATTGTTAGGATCAAGAGCACTAAGAGGGGGGGGGGGGGTGAATTAGTGCAGTGGAAATCTTTCACTATTAAAATCGAAAGCTGCGTTCGTTTGATAAAAACGATTTCGATGTAAAAGCCGATTCTAAGATTACTTTAACTTAAGATTAAGCGAGATGACGTTAAAGTAAATCTACGAAGGCAGTTTACAGCTTATGATGAAAATCAGAATGCAAGCGCAAACTGAAATGCGACGTTCGTACGATAAAACCGGTTTACGTCTAAATGCCGATTTTGAAGATACTGAACTTTGAGATACGTTTTATAAATGCGCAGAAGGCAGTTTGTAGTTATGATTGAAATCAAAACGTAAACGTAAACTGAAATGTAATGATCATACGAAAAAGCTGATTTACGTCTAAACGCAGATTCGGAAAGCTCTGAACTTAGAAACTCGTTCGTAAAAGCAAAGAAGGTAGTAGCTATTTAGGAGGTTTGCAGTAAAAATAAAATGCTCAAAATAAATGTAAACCGAGATTTAGAGTGGTTCGGTCAATCTTGACCTACTCCACTTTTGGCTTCCTCCACCGACGAGGTCACCGACGTCAACTAGAGGCCTTCCTTCAATAGGCGAAGGCCAACCACCCTTTTACAGTTTCACTCCTTTTGACGGGCTTAGGAGACAACCCTTACAGAAATTTTCTCTCCTCTCTTTACAACTCAAAACTTTGAAGAACAGAGGGAGGAGAACTTTTGGCCTTTACAACAATTTTGAGCTTTAAGAATCACAGAAAAAGATCAAGATTTCGAGTGTGAGTTGTTCTCTTTCAGTGCTGAATGGGTGGGGTATTTATAGGCCCCAACCCAGTTCAAATTTGGAGCTCAAAACTGTCAATTCCCGGAATTCCGGGATCAGGCGGTTGCACCTCCTGAATGGGGCGGTTGCACCGCCTGGCAGAGCTCGAAGACTGAGCCTCTGGGCGGTGCCACCTCTGTCAGGGGCGGTGCCACCTCTCTGCCAGAGCTCGAAGACCGAGCTCAGGCGGTTGCGCCTCCTGATTGGGGCGGTTGCACCGCCTGCCAGAGCTCGAAGACCGAGCTCAGGCGGTGCTACCTCCTGTCAAGGGAGGTTGCACCACCCAGTCTCGCTCGGAGACTGAGCCCAGGCGGTGCTACCTCCTGGCTGGGGCGGTTGCACCGCCCAGTCTCCCTGGGAGACTTAGCCCAGGCGGTGCTACCTCCTGGCTTGGGCAGTTGCACCTCCCACAGCAATCAGGGTCCGAATGGGTAGATTCATTCGGCCCAATTTGGGTCTTTCAGGGGCTCAATTACCCCAAGATTAAGCTAATGGGATCACCTCCCATTTCCAACTTAATCATTGTGCTAACTATGATAAATCCTAAGACAATTTCTGCAGCTTGCTTCGGTGCGTCAATCGCTTCTTCCGGCGAGTTTCCGGCGAACTTCCGTCGATCATCCGATGAACCCTCGGTGATGCTCCTGCGGACTTCCGGCAAACTCTTGGACTTGCGACGATCCACTTGGCGAGTTCCGACGAGCTTCTTTGGCAAGCTCATGGACTTCTCGGATTTGTTCCCGCAGAACCTCCGACGACTATCCGAATTTCCGTCGAACTCTCGAACTCCCAACGTGATCATTGTCTTGACTCTGGCGCAACTCCTGCTGCATGTCTTACTTCCATCGTAGTCAATCCTGCACACTTAAAACAAAACTTTGATCGAGACAATTAATCCTAATCAATTAACCAAGTTGTCCGGCATGTCATTGGTCTCTTAACGCTTCGTCCGATTCTTCGGCGCATCGTCCTCTCTTGCAGCCTATTTTCCAATCGGCCAGTTGACTCCGTAACTCCGATATCCTTGGCACAATACCCGCTCTTCTTGGCCCGATGCCCGAGTCCACGGCCCGAAGCCTTCTGTCGATACGTCGACCGATCCACCGGCCCAACGTCCAATCTTCTGACATGTTCTTCCAACACAACATGATTTTTCTGCTTTAATTGTCTCATCCTGATCGAAGCATCCTGCGTCACTCAAAACACAGATTAAATCATAAACATATATCAAGTAGTTTCATCATCAAAATACAAGATTCAACACTGCTTAGCCTCGATCATAGCCTCTTCGACTCTCTCAAGGTACTTTCCTACTATACTCACTTTGTGAGATCTAAAAATTTTCTTTTATGAAATCCATATGTGGTGATAATTATATATTATGGTTGAGCCAAGATCTGTATTCTTGATGTTATTATGATCCTCTAATTATTCTGGAGAAGAATTATTATAAATATGTTATTATTATTGGTGATAATGGAAGTTTGAAGTGGACTACGAGATTTTTTCTATATTAGGTTTTCTACGTAAAAAATTCAGTGTCTCACTTTGTGATTAATTTATTGTTCTACTATTTATATTATTTTGGTTAATATTTATATTTTGATAATAAGTTAGTATTTTGACGAGAAATTCATTTTGATACAAAAAAGGAAAAAAATTATTTCGTTATAATAAATTTTCCCAACAGAAACCCATTACTTGTCAACACCATCATCTTTGTCATCAACTGGTGTAAGGAAATCAAGTAAAACAATTGGTTTTCATAGTGCTATTTTACATGGATTACTTCTTTTTATGATAATTATGATCCAATTAATATACTTATCGCTTTGTGCTTTTATCCGACCTGAACCAATGAATAAAAATCATCAATCTGTTGAGATCCTTGAAAAGTAGATATAAAAATCCATTATCTTTAGAGAAAGTTGATCGATTAATTTCGGCCTTTGTTTTTCGTTTCTTTCTTCCTATTCTTGGAACCACAGACTATGATTGAGAAGTTTTGTTGGTTATCAGAATGGATGAGGTATAGAATGAAGTGCTTCCCAACATAAACTGAGGATGAAAGTATTTTGGATTTTTCAGCTTATTAAACAATCTATTTTGCTTAAACAGGTCATCTCCTTCAGTTCTCCCAACTAGATTGTACTCATGGATTGTTCTTTACTTGATGTTAGGAATGGACAGATAGAATTATTTGTCATAATGTTTCTAGAAATGACCCTTTCAATATTAAATTGGTTTTTGGACGATGATGCATGAATCATGGCTGGTAATTGCATCGAACACATTACAATTATGTGCACCATTGAAATTAAATTAGCCTGAGTTTTTAAACCTCACACATCTCTGATAAGTTTTGGACGTTATTCTATGGCCATCTTCGGTGTGCTCACCGGTGTCAAGCCACAGTTCTGCGACCTTATGTGGTCTCCATGCTCGAGGTATGTGGTCCTTCGTCTTGGATAGCAGTCACTCTGGTGTGGAATTTTGGGCCATAGAAGATCCAAAACGAAGTGATAAAGGAAGAAAAACAACAGATGCAACTACTCGATATGACCATGAAAATGATTTGATCGTGGTATTTGAACTCACAAAATGATGAGGCAAATGTAGCAGAACAAACTTGCACCATCACGACACAGTAGGGTGCTTTGCCAGTTTGCTGCGATGACAACCAGGACTGAGGACGAAGATGAAAGGTTATGTTCACAGTTAACGATAGCAGACACTGAACGGTACCCAACGGAAATAATAAGCATGTGTAACATGAACAACTGCTACGTAAATATATAAGCTGAGGAGGCAAACAAGTGGTCATCAGTTGAAGCCGAGTATGTGGATGAGGGCAAGGGTGTTGCTCGTATACTTCTCCACCTTCCGGATCCGGTAGGAGACGTCGGTCCTCACAGTCCCGGCCGCCACCCTCACGAACCCGTCCCTGCACGTGACCTCGTCCGTCAGCGCCGTGCTCATCCACGTCAGGGCGTTGGACACCCGCCAGGTAACCTCCGGCCCGACCACCTTACCCAGACCCTTCATCTCCGCCCCCGCCCGCAGCGCCCACCCCGCGGCGTCGTCCAGCAGGTCGGAGCAATCGAGCAGCGCCGCGTGCTCTAGGCCAGTGGTGCCGCGGCCGGCCGCCGACACGTGGGAGGTCAGCGAGCGGAGCCGGGCGAGGGTGAGTTTGGCCGCGACGTGGGCGAGCTCTACAGCGTTCTGCTGCACTACACTGGCGTAGCCGGCGAGGGACGAGTAGCAGAGGTCCGGGTAGAGGGTGGCGGCGCAGCTCTTGCGTATGAACTCCGTCGAGTTTCTGCTTCCAGCGCTTGGCGTTCCAGCACTCGCAGCCGGATTCATGGTGCCGGCGAGGAGGAAGAAGAAGAAGATAAGGTCGGTACAAGAGACGACCATCCTCATGGAGAAGGTTTTACAGCTTTGGTCTCAAGTGGGGAATGAGAGGAACTACACGGATCATTATATAGCACCTGGATACGACTACGTGGCTTCAGAGGAGGATGCATGCACTACAGGATAGACATCATCTATTGTCGTGAATGAAGTCGTATCGAAGGTTGTAGTTGCGCCGTCACTGTTGCAGCAACGTGGGCGATCTTTTGTTTTATGCGGGCTAAAGACCAAGCCTATCGCACCGCATGCTACGCGACGTGGACGCATGTGATGAGCATTGTCTTGTGTTGGATGCAAGAAACAAATCTTGGATCACTGGATTGTTTTTGCTGCATGTGAAATGTGTCGCATAAGTTTTGGTTAAATTGGGAGGAGATATAT